TGTGTGTGTGTGTGTGTGTGTGTGTATGTGTGTGTGTGTGTGTGTGTGTGTGTGCGTGTATTGCGTGTGCGTGCGTGCATTGTGTGTGTATACAGCTTGCTGGGAACTAAGCTCGCTGCAACCTACCCAAGGAAACTCAAAAGAAATATGCTGTACCCCCATGCGGAGTACGCAACTATACGTCATAACTAGAGCTTATATGAATTCTCTCATTTGACCGCCTACTTTTTTGGAATGCTTGTCTGCATGTCGGTGCACACAACTTGCATGTGTACAATACACTAACAGTTTATGTTCACCTAATATACACAAGCGATGTCGAGGCACTGCGGACTATATACAACGCCGTAACAGTTTGTTTGTCTGTTGAATGTGCACGAACCTTGTAGCATTGACCATATACGTCACACGGCGAAAATTATTTACAAATACACCATTCACTAGTTAAGAGTTGCCAACTTATCGTCCGGTCCGGTCCCGCACAGTCACAACAGTAGACTTGATATAATGTACGCTACACGAATTGCATTAGAGTCAGGGCCAACAACTAGCTGACCGAGCTTTCCTTCAGTGACAGCAGTCAATTGTAGCAACTATGTGAATACGCAGCTCTTATCGCCGGAAAGGGCATAACTTCATATTGATATTTTTTGAAATAAGACGGCAACTCGTATATCACAACCAGCAATCAACCACGTGCCTATACGAACTTGTACCCACACCACACATTGCACACAAGCGATCCACACACCTGGCTACTGCTGGGCAGGGCCAAATTGCCTCCACTGCTGGTACGGACACATTGGTCCTGGCCATGGTTTCGCGGTGTTGAAGGGGCCGTGACCGACTTGCTGGCCTGACCGTGTCCGTTTTGTGCGTCTCCATAGCCCGGCATATTGACATGTACCGATGTATGGGTCACCGTACGTCCTACATTTAAAGCCGATTGTGCTTCGAAAGCGAACGTTTCGGTACTATTCAGGTGCGAGCTGGGTGTGGGTGTGGGTGCGGGCGTGGGATGGCCACTGAGCATCTCGGCTGCAATGTCGGGCAGCACGGGTGCCTTGAGATCCGGAGATATATATCGGCTGTGTACGACACCAAAGATTCACAAAACGTGCGGAATGAGCCTGCTGAAACGATGATATGAATACAGGAAAAGAAGATGTGTTCTATCACAGTGTTCGTGCGGGGTCGAGGTGATCATCAGGCATCTGGCCGCGTGAAATGACTGAAAACGCACAGCTGCTTGGATGTTCGCAGGTATGTTTCGGATGTTTTGAACGGGCAGGAGTATGCAAAGAGTGCGAAAGAAGCATATGTATCCAAAACAACCGGGCGGGACAAAGAACCGAATTGATATCACGGTTTCAGGTAGGTTGGTGAATTGCTTGAGCTGTGCGGCACAAGCGAATTGTTGCAGCTGGGATGTTGTACGGGTGGTAGATATCGGCTTCATATGACAAATGGATACACGACTACGCACACCCACATGAACAGATGCAAACGTACATAGTCCACGTAATATTTGTTTTTTAAAAAACATTTGTGAACTCACACTGGCACCAAATTCATGATAACATGCATCTGCATATACCTGCAGCTTTTCAGCAGTACGTACCTAAGTCCAGCAAGACACACACATACATCCAGTACTCTCCTGTGCCCACCAAACTATATATACAAGATCGTAGGAAGAGACATACGAAATCATGCAACTGCAAAACACATACCGGCTGCCAACCCTCGGCACAGGATCTGTCAAGCTCAGCGCACGATCACGCTTGGAACTCAGATCGAAAGAGCCCCTGTGTTTGGCTCGTCCCGACACCTTGTCTCGAATAGACCGCATACTGTGAGATACAACAGACCGGTGCTTAGACATGCAATTCAGCATTTAGTGCCGTTTGTGTGCTTGTACACCACCCTCTAGTTAGATCTGTTGTAGTCAGTAAGTAAGGCCACAGGGACTCACGATACAATAGGCCGGAAATGTTGTATTACACCATATACAGCTGAAAGGTATCGTATCATTGGCCTCTGAATGAACTGGGCAGGTTTAGGATTCTATGGTTTAGGGTTTAGGGTTTTAGCGTTAGCCCCTAAACTCTAAAAACCCTAACCTCCGAATAGACTAGAGGTGTTAGATCCAGTGGCGTGGGACTGCCGTGCACAGGTATTGTTTGACTCCGTGCGCTCTCCTGACATTTGAGAATATTATGCACTGAAAACTAAACTAATGCTAATCGGATATACAGACCTACACGTGCACGCTCTGTCGGCACCTGTACTTCGCAGCAACCAAACAACGAATCTCAGCCAAAACTGCGCATACCAACTGCACTGTAAGATGCTTTAGAGAATCTGTAAGTATCGAACAGCCTCCAGGCAAAATCCCCAGGTGTTCCTTGCTTGTTGAATTTAAACAAGTATAACTCGTGACCTACTACACAGATACGAGCATGGTATGCATGTGCGCACAACACCACAAAATTAAGCGCTCGATTGATGATCAGGCACGGCGCGCGAGAGTTTATGGTCGCCAGGTGACAATTCAAGGCGTTCTTATTCAAAGTTGCTTACTACGTGCGTAAGACGCCATCCCACTAAACTGTTACGCCCACGTTGTGCCCAGTGCACCGTAACCGTAACACTAAATACATAAGATATCGCTCGAGCCCTGCATTAATCGGATTTAGATCTAACCCCACCCACATAAACAACTTAACACCAAGCTGAGATTCACAGTAGCCCAACTTGAACTGCCTATACACACTGTGCACATACTTTATGTCATTCACATGTATCTCATCGTAGTCCTCGTCTGCATTATCTGTCGCCATACTCAGATCCTGCATAAACTGGTTACTGAATGTGCTCCCCTTCCGACTGGCGGGTGTGGGCTCGTCTACCGTCGCCGCAGATTTGGGTGCGCGAAGTACTTCCATAGAAGGCGTGCTGACGTTCGGCTTAAAACGGGCCGAATTAAATCTATTAAAACCATGGGATATCAAAAACATCAGCCAGATACATGCTTAGTTGGTCTATTAAAACCATGGGATACCAAAAACATCAGCCAGATACATGCTTAGTTAATTTCATGCAGTATATTCTATACCGAATGCTCTGCCGCGCTCATCCAGCGTTTCCGTAGGGTACACCTGTACGTACACACACATTCAGCCAAGCAACCCAATTCATAAAATACACATACTTGGGTTTGTGCATGACGTCAAATGTTGTCTCCAGCAACCTGGACCTCCTCAGTAAATAATACACCGCGGCAGTGTGGTTGTAGAGCCCCACCTCAACACTCTCGATGACTTCCAGTTCGTTGAATCCCATCTTTACCATGAGAGCCAGGATATCGTCACGGACGACAAAGTAGCTCAGATCGTATACGTGCAGGTGCAAATCTGGATTGCACGCGGGGTGCTTGAGCTGGGGCTTTTCCTGTGAGCAGGGCGATAGAAATATACCAGGGCGATGAATTCGGGAGTTATTCTCGATGTACGAAACAAATGAATTACAGGTAGCCTGTGTGTACTTTGATAAAAATACATAACGTTCAATTCTCGGGGTTTGATGCACGAAACAAATGAATGACAGGTATCCTGTGTACCTTGATAAGAATACATAACGTTCAATTCTCGGGGGTTGTGAACAAACCCCTCCAGTATTGGATTGCATGCTCAGATATCTAATAACATATCCTTGGAAAGTCTCAGTTGTACTTTTGTGTAAGCCAATCCATAAATGTGTGGGTAGTGGTTGACGATGATTTAGAATACCTCACCAATGACACAAATAATAGGGACTATTATCACTCTTGGGATTATACATAACTATCATCTCGATAGATGTCTCGAAGCATTCTTATATTTTGACAAGGAATATGTTCAAGTGAGATAAACAGATACACACCATTTAAAATGTACTTGCGGACAGTATAATTGGGACTATAATTACTCGTAGGAGTATACATAAATATCATCTCGAAAGATGTCTCGAAGCATGCATACATCTTGACAAGGAATATATGCAAGTGCGATACATTGATACACACCTTTCCAAGTGTACTTGCAGTCAAATCCTCGTTCAACAGCAACGATAGTTGTAAGAACTCTGACGCAGTCATGCGCTCGGCTGCGTTGACTGTGAACATCCGCGTTAGCGTACTGCTGATGGCCTGCATATGCAATAGACAGGACAGAGCATCGATACCATCGGAAGAAGATGAGTCAGGTATGAAACTTCGAATTTGCTAGCTGTCTTTGTACTGGATGACATTAAACGTACACATTTGGTAACTAAACAAGAACACATAAACTCCAACGCGCTCTCCTTCTTGCACTTGCACTCGCACTCAAACCTAACCGTTACTCTGGTTTTTCACTTTAATCACACGCGCTGTATCGCAATCTGCAAGTACCAACACTCACGGCTTTAAACACCGTCCTTATGCCATGCACACAATAGAAATACACAATAGCAGCCTTAACATATCATGCGAATATAGACACTCGTAAATAGCGAGTCGTAACATTCATAGGAGAATGCTGACGCCAAACGTATAATGGTCTCCACATCAATGATAGCCACAGAACTATTTGCCGAAATAGCGTACGTAGTATAATCATCGTGAAACCGAATTCAAAAATATAAAAATACCATGCTAACCACAAAAACCCTACCTCGCTCACATTCTCGAGCTTCTCGAATTTGACGGCGCACACGTTGGCCTTGATACGCTTACTCCTAAAGGGCAACTTCCCACTCAGCAGATAATAGAACAACACCCCCAACGCCCACATATCCACGGGCGCCGGTAAGTAAGGTTTCCTGTGCCACAGCTCAGGAGCGGCGAAGCGAGGTGTCCCTGTTATGTAGCACGTATGAATAAAGCAGATTGACTTGTTAAAGTTAACAACCCATACATAAACCTTGACATGTTCAACCCTGAATGGTAAATCCTCATACAGAAGGCAGTAGAAAATAAATCTCAAGAGCCGGTAGGTCAGGCCATGTATCAAAGCGAGGTGTCCACATTTATCCAAGTAAATATATATATATACATACATACATA